CATTTTTTTTAATTCCCAAATGGAAACGGAAACAAAATATCTGTTTTGTCTAATTAAAAATTGAATCTTTCCTATCAATTTACGATTTTTGAGTGTTCTTGTAAGGGGTTGGTTGAAAAAAAAAAGGTTAGTAATTATGATAAGGATGAGAATTGGAAATCTATGAGATGGGTTTTGGAAGATAAAAAAGGAAAAAGAAAAAGGAAAAGGATCAAACTAATCTTTCAGCAATAACAGGTAAAGATTTCATTAGAGAAGAACAAGCTCAAAAGATTACAGCTCCCATGGAAAGCTTATTCCTGAATCCGTTTCATGAAGTAGAATGTTTTGAAATTGAAATGAAAAATCAAGAAATGGGGAAAATAAATAGAAAAATCAAGAGTGAAAAGAACAAATATTAGTTTTATTTTTCCTCTCTCTGTCTCTCCTTGTTGATGTGAATGATCTCTGCAAGTCCGCGTGAGAGGACATCATAATATCTAAATTGGAGAGAGAGTAGAGGAGAATGGACTTTCTCTTTCCTATCCTCAACGGCTCAACCAACTACACGCTTAGTTGACGGTCACTGATGAATGCAGAGACTCAAGTTTTTGTCACATTTTGGAATTCTTTGTTTAGGCTTCAATAGGACACAAATCCTCTTTTTTCAATAAATTGTGGTTAATAGGTTGATTAACTCGTTGATTACTGGTTAACAATAACATTGCTATACCTAACTGATGTAGGAAAGCGTACGAGTGAGACGATATTAATGAGATCTCAATCTCAAAAACATCTAAACATGATATCAAATCATCTTTTCATTCAATAATTCATAATCAAAGCACAAAAGCCCTTTAAGTAAGACTCTTAAACTAAAGCTTAGTTTATTCTCCAAGCTAACAAATAATAATAATAATAATAATAATAATAATAATTCTGCATCACTAATTAGAACTATCTAGCGATAAGATTGAATTTTAGTTTAGCCCTTAAGACATGGTTCACCATATGTGGGCCGCAATCCCAGCTCATGACCTGCATGCGTCAATCCACTAATAAATGTTCAGTGTCGATTTACCAAACGATAGTTATATCGATCTAGTGTGAAAGCAAACTGAAAAAACAACTGCTCAATCAAAAGCGGACGTCTCATCTACAAAAGCATCACTGCCATGTGTTCTCTTGCATGTAACTTTTTCAAACACATGTCAGTCAAATGCGTCATTAGTTGGCATATTGTAATAATTGCATTTCCATTTAGGGTTTATGTAAACCAATTGAATAGTACCCGACAACAGAGTACATTCAACTTATCATCTACGAACAAAACACTCAAAGTAATTAATACGATTTTGTCGATCTCAGTTATTGTTCATTTTACGTTTTTAAGCTCATAATCATTAAAATGTATATTTGATAATATTAGTTATAAACAAATTGGCGCTAGAAAGAGGGCCCGTAAGGGTTTTTTGTGAAACTTCACCTTAGAAAGATAGCCGTGAAGATAATATTCCTGCCCCTACTATCAACAGCCAGATTGTCAGCAACCCCATCTTTGTCAAATGTATAACTGAACTTTTTACCCTAATGCTTCACAATATCCATCTCACAACAATTCTTCTCAAAAGCCTTTCCAAAATGTTAGAAATTTAATCACGTGTCCATCAAATACGCCCTTTGTTGGCATACAATAATCATTGAATTTCCATTTAGTGTTTATATAAATACATTAAATTGTACCTCACAAGGGACCATGTTCAACTAATCATCGCAAAATGTCAGCACTAATCGTGAGTTGGGTGGCGCCGGCCGGCGCCAGCAGCGATGGATAGGGTGGGAACTACCTGAGGCGGGTGTGGTGAAGGTTAACACGGATAGCAGTTATTTACCGAGTACGGGTATGGCTAGTGCTGGTGGCGTCATTTGGGATTATATGGGGAGGTGGCTGAGTGGCTTCTTAATGAACATTGGATTTTGTTCTGTCATTGGTGCCGAGCTTTGGGGCCTGTTTCAGGGGTTGAAGCTTGCATGGGAAATTGGGGCCCGCAAAGTGGTGGTGGAGGTCGATAATCAGAATATTATTGCGATGGTCTAGGAAGAGGATGGTGGCGGCATTCACAGGGGGATCATACGAGGGATACGAGAGATGTTACATAGGCCATGGAATGTGGGTTTGCAGCATGGTTATCGTGAAGCGAATTTTGTCGCAGATTTTTTGGTCTCCCTTGCAGCACAGGGGCCTGGCGGATTTCAGCGTTTGGACGACCCTCCTTCGGGCGCGAAGATTTGGCTCACTCATGATGTGATAGGGGTGTCTTATCCCCAAAACGTGTTGGTTTCGTCTTAATTAGACTTTGCCTCCTTTATTTGTATCGAAAAAAAATGTCAGAAATGTAATTTTGTACCGATTACGGCTCTACTCAGTTTTGGACCACATTCACGTCTTTTGATGACATAAACCCCCCAAGATATGTCCAAGAACATCAATAATTACCCATATGATTTGAAATGCATTTAACATTTGAGAACTTAACAGAAAGATATGAAATTGAGATAAAACGTAAGGTAATTCATGTTCATCTTGTGCTAATTATTATTTCTTGAGAGTTCTAAACACAAGTAAGTTCGCAGAAATCTTGTGTATTTGAAGTGTCACTATACACAAGATAAAACTCGTTATATCTTGGAGACATTTGTGAAAATTGTGAGTATTAATCGGTGACAATTTCTTCTTACGGAGAGTGTGTTTCACGTGCCTTGACGTTGATTGTCATTTGAAACTTTTTTGTTCGAGTTTGCTCGAGAATCGTGTTCGTAGTCGTGTTCATAGTTTGATCGAGTCATGCATTACCATTCTTCGTTTGTGTTGTTCTTTGCTATTTTCTAAAGACAAGTATGTACACATATGCCAAACACAAAACACTCAAATCAATAAATACAGTTTTGGCGATCGGAATTTCTATGTCCATTTTACGTTTTTTAGCCCATAATCACAGGTTTTAATCTCTTTGTTTGTCAACAAACATAATGAGTCTCCATATACTTTGTAGCTTTGATCCACCACTCCTATAGCACATCCGGATTAGCGGAATTGATTAAGGATTATTACTATTATTATTATTATTATTATTATAAGTTTAAAATGGGACTGTGTTTATGGTATGAACAAGGCGGACAAGAGGTCAATTTATGTCGCAGGGTTGCTCTTCTTTACCTTAAACATGTCATGATTATCTTCACAATATCTTTGCTGACTAAATTTCGTTCTTGGATTGACTGATCGGATATCAATTGGCTACCGCATCTTAATTTTTTGAAGTCACGGTTCGATGGATCAGATTATTTCGTTGAATTGGCATATTTTCAATTTAAAAAGAAATGGCTAAAATTATAATTATAATGAACAGAGTTTTAATAGTTAGATAAAATTTAATCTTTCCACAGGACAATGATTCTCACTTCTCAGCCGTATCATTTGTTGGATCGTTATGGGGCAGGTTGGACCTATATAATTTCCTAAATCGATTTAGGAAACAATTATTTCATTTAAATAATTAAATATGTGTAAAGCAATCTATATCTATATAATTACTAGCTGATGCATTTAATAAAACTTATTTTCATTTCTCTCCAAAAGGAATTACATTTTTTTAATTAATTACTCACTATTTTGCTAAAACCGTTACACTCTAATATGTATATTTTTGTTATTTATTTTTTGGATCAGTTACTAAATTAATTCTAAGTTTGGTAACAAAATATTCAAACGTGTAACGACTAATGTTGGAACTTAAAGTTAATTGGCACACACTCAGAATTGTAATATGATTGACACATATTTTTTTAAAAAAATCAGAAACACCAATAATTTTTTTTATTTATGTTAATTTTCTTAATATATGACACAAATATATAAATTATTTTATTCATGTTACTAATGTAACGTTGCATGGTTAAAATAAAATTTAAATCTCAATTAATTTTGAATGATAAAAATAACTTAAGAAAAAGTAATAATTTTTATATCATAGAAGTACATGCTAATTAATAAATACAAACAAAAACGTGTTTTATATCTATGCAAATGCACATGATCAAATACTAGTATATCTAATTGAATTACATTTGTGATATTAAAATAATTTAAGATAATGAAAATAAAAGAAAATATTTTGTGGAGTAAATATAGCACGAACAGTAAGAGACGACACTTGATTTTGTTTCACTCTACTCTAAGTAGAGTAAACTCTACACTAAAGAGAAAATAAAGGCTGGAGACGGCCAAACATATTTTGAACTGAATATTTTTTTATTCCTAGAATTTCATAGCTATGATACCTTAGGTAAACATAATTTTAGCAGCAACTCCTGTCAGTTTCAGCATCGTAGAATTTCATATGGAAAACACACCAACATATGTAGGTGCCATAGTAGTGATGGTGGTAATAATAATAATAATAATAAACAAAACATATTATGCACGAAAAAAATGCCAGAGTATGAAATTTCCTATCTATTTGAAGATACATCACCAACACGTAAAACATCTAGATATTATACACAGCTAATTGAAGCCGGAATCTTTTACAGTCGAATGATGAAATCAAGAATCTATGGCCAAAATGCCCAATCAATCTACAACAGATCCATGTATACTGCTACCAATAGAAGTTAATAAAATTTAATTTATGGCCCGCAAGTTAGCACCGGCTCATTTCCAGAAAAAAAGACTTACCTTAATAAGCTACAATTTACCTAAGAAAAAAAAAATCTAGGAGGCAATTTACTGACATATTCTTAGTTTCCTTTAATGTAGAAGAGAGCAACTACAATCACATTTCTACCCGGCAAAAGGAACAGTACTGCATATTCATCATCATCCCTTTACGACAAAAATACTAATAAATAAGGAAGGGACTAAAGCCCGCCCGAATACAACTACGTGTTCAGCTCTCGTGAAAATCTTCTACATAAATTTTCTGAAACTCTATACGAAGCAGTTGGATATCAGAAGTTGGTAAATGNAGCATATCTTCTTGAGTAGCAGACCAAAAATGGTTTACCTGGATTTTTCCTTTTCATGCATAGTACATGTACAAACTGTTTGCTGCAGCACAAGCAACCGAGTTTTCTGATGGGTGCCATGCCAAGTGGAGCAGCTTTGTTGTGAAATCTAAGGAATTTCCATTAGTGTCGACTGCGGGATTTTCTGCACCTGTAACATAGGAACCAGTATAGCATTTTTGGCATTTTTGTCCTAAAAGGATAAGGGCCTTATTTATTGGTATTTTTGTCCTAAAAGGATAAGGGAAAGAAAATCATACCTCGCCTTACAACACGAGAAATGCTACTTGTCAGGGATCTGGAAGGCCGAGAGGGCGTCTGAACTTGCCTTCTGAGAGTATTTAAGATATGTTATATGGATACAAACTTAACCATGTCGACAATGTTAATCTGGTAAGTAATTTTACCTCATTGGATTTTTGCTAGCTTCAAGAGTAGTTGCTTCAGTACTACCCGAAGCACATCCAAATATACGAAATAGATTGCTGTTAACAAATTTATTATATTATCCAATTAGTTGTTGTAACAAGTGCTTTCTTAGTTTGACAAAAGATGACAAAAAGGCAAACACCGCCAAACAAACTTGACCCCACCTGTAAGAACCAGTAGCCACTCGACGACCATCGCCACTCAGGCAACATTCGAATTTGTCAAATATGGAATCATTTTCATACAAATCACACAGCTGGGCATTATCAAAGAACAATTCAATGAACTAAAATCATCAGAGTACAATTATAGTCAAGGTGAGCATGAAGTGCAGCAACTTACCTTAGGTCTCAGATACTCATGAACCTGGAAGGTTGACACTGGACCAGAGTCCATATTAATATCCCATAACTGANNCAAAAAAAACAAACACAACAACAACAACTGAAGTGGATTAGTGAAGATCAACTAACAACTTGAGAAGATTGTATATTATTGAGCCACTAAGTAGGAACTCATTGGCCTGTAGTCAAATCGTTCACCAAGATATAGACAGCTGATGGATCACCAGTGCACTACTGAGTTCATGCAACCAGACACTTTTAACAAAACGTATGTAAAACGACATAAACTATATCCACAAATCTAAAACTCGTACTACATGACTACAGAATTATGCATACATTCATTCACCAAAATAAACCACAAACACTCCCCACAGAAATTGAGGCATTAGCAACAAATATCAAGGGTGAAAATAACGTGAAAGATAGAACCTTAAGGGTCATGTAATCACGGCTCAATATAAATCTTCCATCCCTAGCGAACTTAACATCTGAAATCGAAGCAATTATCTCAGTGAAAAATGACCTCGAGCCAGGCGCCTCCTGCTCCTCAAATCTGTACGTGAAAGAAATAATCGAAACCGCATCCATGAAAATAATATATCTAAGCAAGAAATTTGAAATTCAAATAACAGGGTTCCAGAAAACAAATATGACAAGAACATCTGAATATCCATTCTCGAGATACTACCAAATGTCAATTCTACAGCTCACAATATATCATGTGCATGGAACCAGAAGCCTGAAGCACTAACTACCAAAGCTAAAAACTTACAGTTTAGAATGTGAATCGCACAATGCAGATTGTCGTAAATCAATAAGACGGATTGATCCTTTTGAACTACTGTATGCTAACATGTTGCAATGAGTAGGATGGAACGCAGCTGATGTTATCACCTCTGCAACAAGAAACAACTACCAAGCAATCAGAGCAGTTTAAGTATAGGAATTTATTATGATTTAACATATCATTTAGAAAAGAAAAAAAAGGAAAAAAAAAAGGCATTTGGTCCCAGCCTACTCTAGCCAATTCATATAATCTATCTGTCTATCTATCTATACTATTATAAATATTATTATAAAAGGATTGGTGTTGTAAGAAAATGAATAGACTAAAAAGTCCTTAGATTTGTTATAATATTAATGGTATAATTGCAAGTTGTAATTAAGTGCAATAGAATTCTATTTCTACCCTTTCAATTAAATATTTAATTATTCTAATTATGTAGCCAGAGGAGCCACGGGAAAGTGAGGTTCTTTGGTCATATATTATTAGGCTTGGGTATATTTTAATTTACTTCCAATCCAAAAATAATTAGGTTCGGATTATCCATAAATATGTTTGATTATTTATGGTCATGTTACATGTATTAATTGCATTTTAATATCATTTCTTATTATAACCATTGAATTGTAAATGTATTTTAAAAGTTAATAACTTTTGTATTTTTTATCAGTTTTACATATATAATATATCAAATTAATCATCTCCTGATGAGCTTCGATTTAACATCTATTGTATGTATAAAAAAAAAATATATATTTATCTTGATAACAATAATAAAATTATTTTTTAATATTAATTAAAAAAATAAATTTATTTATCATTTAATATATTTATATTTCAAGTAGTTATATGATATAAGTTATAAAAATTACTATAATATAACACATATAAGTCATACAAGTAACAAGTGTCATTCTAAAATATATAATAATATATATTTTTTGTAAACAAGTAAATAAAATTTAAAAAAAAAAATTCTCCTTAATTTAAAAATTTAAGAACAATTTTTTAACAAGCACTCGTGTAATACACGGGTGTTGTACTAGTATTATATATAACCAAAAAAAAAAATTATCATATAAATATTATTATTATTATTATTATTATTATTTTACTTTTTATTTATATTATATTCACGTGCATTAGAAAACTTATTATTCAACTTATTATTTAATCATACATTTATTTCATGAGTGATTAACATAAATATTAAAATAATTATTTGATGATAGTAGCAAATTGAAAAAAAATAAGTGGTTGTGAAAAAATATTTCATAAAATATCATTTGTTGATTCTTTTATTTTACCTTTAAAAAAAATATTTTAAATTTCATAACAATTTGGTATGAGTACGTCGATCTAATTTATATAATTCAGCATAATAGGTCATTTGCATGTATGGGCTATTTTCTAGTTAAGGAAAACCACGTCTGCTCACAATTGACATGTTCTATGATTTTAAGTGAGATATATAATTGAAATGACGGTTATGATCATTGATTTTTTGTTATTTGAACTCCATAGTTATTATGTATACAATTAAAAATGTATCCCTTAAACACATAAATTTGGTTTTGAAAGAAGGCATTCCCCTTCTTCATAGTAATATAACTTTACTTATAACATATAATTCACAATTCTAATAAAGAGTGTTTTTTAACATTATAATTATGTATGTAAAATTTTTTAGTTCTTTGTAACAATTTTCCTTTTCAATGACTATTATTGTTTAGTTATAACTTTTCAATTAGTCACGTTAAATATTATTTAATGAAAATGAATGTTTAAACCAAACTTTATATTAAATATATAACTTATAAATTCATAATTTAATTAAAAATTGATGTTAGATAGTCTTATTAAGTGTTAATCTGTTTATTATTGTATTGAAATACTTTAAATGATAAAAATGAAATTTAATAATGAGTAAAAATGATAAATTTATAATAACTATGTTTCTTATGTTTTAATATTCCTATTATATTCATAATTAATAATTTCTTGTGCAAAATACATTTTGTATGTTCTTCATGTTCTATTACGTGTTTTTCTCTATTGGTTTTTAATACATAATAGACAACATAAATGATGTGTAAGTGTACGAATTGTTAATTTTAAAGTTGATGTCATGTGTAAAACCACAAGATTATTATGTCAAAACTATTATGTACTGTAGCATGGCCCATTGTTTTTAGTTGTTTCCCATATCACCTATTTAATATTTTTTTTTCCTAATATTATATGACATGTTATTTGCTTAATGTATATTTTATATAAAAGTAAAGATCGTAAACAAAACTAACAAAAAAACAAAAAAGATCGTAAAGAAAAGGTACAATCATTTCATTGTTTTTGATAGTACTGAAATCTGGGCTGGATAAAAGAGAAGACAAATAGGGAACAGAAAAAAGAAACGGAGAAAACGTGACTTACCAGTCAGATCCTCCATATTTGCTGGCTTCACATCAACGATATTGAAACTTTGATTGCTTATTTCCAAGTTCCAGAGGTTTATTCGGAGGTCATCAGCCGATATAAATGTTTCGCCATCACTGGGTAACATTACAAAAAGAGATTAATTGTAGTTTTAAGTTTAGTACATCATAGGAAAGTAAAAGGAATTAACATAATCATTAGCATTGAAAAACGGCAGTGCACACAAATAGTGAACAAACTTTTGGATTCCCACCTGTTATTTGAAATAGAATTGATATGATAGTCATGCGCATGAGCATACACTCTCCTACATCTTGCAACAAGATTGGTCTCACTGCTTGTGACCTATAATAGCATAATCTTGTGTCAAACAAAACTTTCATATCCAATAATAATATGAGAAATTGTCCACAGCAAAGACTTTATAGCATGCCAAAGATTGTTCATCACTGACAATGGATCAGTACTTCGGGACAGTCATAATGACATGAACATACACAAATAAATAGACCCCACAAAGAACAAAAATATTCAATGGGCAACAAAACCATCATTTCTAACCGAACACATAATATATATTTTTTACCAAGGATGTCAAATTGTAATGAAATATTTAATTCTGCAAGTAAAAGTGTATGAGTTAAGTACAACTACCACTGGTAATCGCAGAGAAGGGATCCCTCCAGGTGGAAATGACAAGTCATTGCTCAAAGAATTGTAAGATTGAACAGAACAGTCACCATTAGTAAGGAACGGCTTTGAAGTAGAAGAAATGCTGGAACTTGCAATACCAGCACTTCCGCCAGCTTTTGATGGCTCCACATTAATATCAGAAATTTTTTTAACTTTCTTCTCTTGGACCTGTTTAAACAAATAAAAAATTAATAATCACACAAGTATCTATTGACAATTGGTTGATTTTAAAAACAATGCCTTCAGCCTCAACATATCATAAACCCAACTGAGATTGAATGATACCATGAAGGAGGAATGGTAAGAAAGAACAAAAGAAAATGGAAACTTGATCAGTTTATTACAAGATTATTATTGCCAACTCTCATATCTCCCACTGGATTTAAGTGCTACTGAACCATATTCTATTTTTCCCCCAATTTGTAATAGAGAAAGATGGAAGTCTCCCATATGAAAGAAAATTTAAGAGATTGTGTTTCTTGATCAGAACTTAAACCATTCTCTGTCGACATAAAAAAAGTGAAGGAAACATGACAGAGTGCACATTACCACAAACAATAAGAAAAGATGCTAGCTTGTAAAGCTAGTCCTTATAAGGCACTAATGCTTTTAAGATGAAATAAAGATATTGAAAGGAAACGAAAAGGGACAAAGTTGTAAAATCAAGATCACACATAGTAAGATGAATGATGAGCAAATCTTGTGAACAAAAAAAAAAAAACAATATTTGATCTGCAAGGGCATTTGTCTAAATGGTATTATCAGATCCAAGAACTACAGAGATAAGTACAATCTACATTTCTGTTTAACCAATAGACATCACCTTCCAAAACTTGATGGTCTTGTCGTTGGTCGAAAGAAGAAAGAGGGCCCCATTAGCCGTCTGACACCACCTAATCTTGTTTATCTTCTCCTCAATCTCCAAACTCTTGAGATAATCAAACTGAAGAACAAAGAGATGTGCAAGAATACATTTATTCGAACTATCTCGTTACTAATTTTCTTGATAAATGATGCAATTAAAAATACACAAAATATGAGTTGTCGTTATGCTATTCACTCGACTGAATACAGAAACATCATTGCTAACTGAAGGCTTATATATTTGGAAGAAAAAAAAAAATTTTCAAACTAATATCTGTAAGTACCTCAGGTTCATGGCTCTGAAATTCAGTTTTGTAACGGAACTCTGGGTGTCTAGTAACGGGGCAGTCCATTCTTTCTAAATCTCTTCTATTACCACCATACTGCAGATAACATTGGCATACAAAAATTAAAGTAGGAAGTTGAGTCACTGACATTTCAGAATCCTTTGTCATTGTGGAACATTTACCTCTTTTGTATCTGTCCTTTCAAATAATACCACCCTCCCACCACGATCACCAGTAGCCAGATGGTCACCGGTTTTATCAAACTCAATGGCAGAGATGATATCCACTGCAAAGAAAGAAGACCTAACATTAGAAACCGAAAGGTAAATTTAAGACCACAACCATTAAACAGAAACAAGACAACAAGCCCATGAAAGCAGGAAAAAAAAAAAATCATGGATCAGATACAAGATATGATCATTGCTACCTAACTGTATCTAATTCATCCAAAAATAGTGCAATTTAATTTTCATATCTATCAAGAATCAGGATGCCAGAATAGAAAATTCAAGATACAACATAACCAGGGTTTTCACTCATGCAAACTCATCCACCCTGGTTAGAATAACTAGAACAGGAAACTATGATTTGTCATTCCATACCATAGCCATTTCCTAATCCACCTTTCCTTCACATAACAATAACTTAATTCATACCAGCTAATGTTTGCATTGCAAGTTGTCAACAAGACAGCAAAAGTCAATGCAGAATTTCACTCAGGGAGATATAGATAATACAAATTTAGTTACATGACAACCACCAATAAAGGCAATAATTAACAAAAAATGAAGAACCTTTCCTTTTACTTGGGAACAACTTAATACTTGACATTTTGTTCATCTGTACTTCCAACTTATCAAACAAGCATTGTTTAGACACTACAGATGTATGCCAAGAGTTCAGCATTACCACATTTTGGTGAAATACTTGTTTTGTACTAGAACATTTCAACCCAGTAAATATTGCAGATTTGGAAGCCACAGACTGCCTTCTGACACGTATGACAATCTACAACCTCAGAGCTTAAAAGGAAATTAGCAGACGACTACCATTGAACTTGCCACAAGACAACTACAGTTAGTTGACTTGCGAAAATCAAACCCAACAAGTTTGCAAAAATTGGCAGCATACACGGCAATAAGTACACTAGCAATTATATCATAAATGTTGCATGCAGAAAGCAAGCCTCCTCTCACTTGATGACACCATAAAATTTATGCTTACATTCTAAGATCCATGGATTAGATTTTCATCAATACCAAGATGAAAGAAAATAAGTAAGCCAGTACATAAACCACAATGACAAGATCCAAAGCCCACAGCAAAACACATTCTTTCTACAAAAATCAAGTGCATGAAGTAGGATAATCCAAACAGCACACTAATAAATTGCATTCTACATACTTTGGACCAACACAAAATAGACTATTATCCCCCAAATCATATATCACAAAACTGACATACAAATCACTTAGTCAAAACACCAGCCAATCCCCAGTAACTTCGACTAAATCAAGTAACTTAACAATTCAAAGAATGGATCAAACTCAGACAAACAAAAACCCTAACCACAAGATCCAAATGCAAATACATTTCTCATTCATCAAAGCATCATTCTTTTTCACCTTCCTGCACTTCCTCGCCGGCCGCACGCTCTCCGAACACCTGAGAGAATTTCCATTCCAGCGGGCTGGGTGGCCCTGCCGCAGCTGATACCACCTCTCCACCATCACCACTGTCCATTCTTCCCAATAATCAACAATAAATCAAACAGATAATCGGCGACCAGAAATCAAACGGGAGATCAACTAATCCTCAGCCTCTTCCTTCCTTTTCACTTCATTTGACATAAAAGCGATCTCGAGCTAAGGAGACGAAGAAGATCGCAGAGGATTGGATTCAGATTCAACCATTTTTCAGTGTCTGCATATATATACACAAACGACGATTGGTGCAATCAAAAAAGGTAGAAAGAAAGAACTCAGATTTTGCCTTCCTTTCTCTCTCTAGATGTATAGATATAATGATGTGTGCGTATAGAGTGTGGGGTGAAATTGTGAGAAATTTGGGGATTTTTCTTTTGATAAATATAATATAATTGAAATATAATATAATTGAACTTCAGTGAATCAAACAGTTGATTTATTCATCAAAGCTTTTTGGCTCTTTCTCAATCTAGAATAAATAATAAACTCTTTAATCCTTTTAAATTTTAATTAATGTGCATGCATTCAATTTTCTCTCTCCATCTCCCTAAGTTTTATGTTTGGTATTTCTTGATAATCTTACCCGCTGTTGTGTATGCAACGAGTCAACGACATTAAAAACTTTGACAGATTAGTGTTGAAGCCTGCAGGTACGTTTTGGTTCCGGGTTATAAGGAAAAAAGATGGAAATGACTGGGAAAATGGTACGCATTTACTTGGAAAGGAATAAGCTACTACAAAGGGAGAAGAATATTAACTATTAAGGCTATTTGCGAAAAAAATATTACATATTATTAAATATTTTTGTACACAATATTTTTTGTTTGCCTTATAGGAAAACTTTAGGTTATCGAGAAGTTCCCAATCGAGGGATGAGGGCAATTCTTTGTTAGTAGGCATTTGTAGGTGTCCACCTTACATAGTTAATTTTGAATAAAAACCGAGAAGGGAACACCGTGTTTCGTGGCTAAGTCTTGCAGTTCGGTCTTCGAGTCTTAACCCGAATGGGATGAGGCATCCAGAGAAGGGGACGGGTTCTTTTGAACGACCTTGCCCTTGACTTGGCGAGTTTCCCGGAAAGATGAGGCTCTGGGCATGTTTGTTGAGTGGGTTATTCGAACACGCGGTGGTTATGGAGAAGAAAGTGCTTGGACACCTTTTTTGAGACAAATTATCGAACACCTTGTGTGCAGGAATTTGTTCTTGAAAATTAAAGAACACAAATATGATTGATGCTCGTGGTTGTTGTTTTCACTTCGACCGAAGGTGTTCCACAAATCAACCCACAATATGCAATCTCTAAGAGCTTGTAATACCTTGAGTATGAGATGCTCCAAAGATGTGGTGCAAGCAGGGAAACAGAAGATATTCGGAAGAATTTCGTCAGTCTATCTTAGCGTATCTGATTCTATGATCCAATATTCGTAGCGTATAATAAATAAACAAATATAATGATTATATGATTCAATTCCGACACATTTTTAATAAACAAACAAATATAATAATTCCATATTCGTATTTCATTCCCAATATATTGTAGAGTATCTGAAACGCTTCAATTTTTTTTGTATTATATAATAACAATATGACAAATATGTTTCAGAACAGTTGTCAAGTAATAATCCCAAAGTACGAATTTACAAAAAATAAATAAATAAATAAATAATTTACGATTAATTATGCATATAAAGTTTCGACTAATAATCGCATATTTAAATAAAAAAATTAATAGGTCTACGGATCACAGTTCCAGCATTTTCAATAAACAAATAAATATAATGATTCAGCGATTCAATAGTCATATCTCTTTCGCAATTTAATCGCAGAATTTGAATTTACCATTTGAAAAACAGTCGTATAAAGAATTGCATTTTGCAAGACTAACGAGTCGGCATTTTTTTTAATAATAACAACAAATGTTATCAACAAAAAAAAAAGGGTCTGCGAATACATTGCGATTCACCTGCTATGTATCGAACTCCATCGTAAAACAATCGCATAATGACTCACATTTTTCGTTGCAAACCCATCATTCGAACAATCGTTTCTACATGCCTTGAAATGTTACTATCATCAAATACTACAAAAATAGTACATAAATGATTATGAGGCAACTTGAAACGATACGTATTAGTATAAATACTACATTAATGAAGTCTACAAATTTTTCATCCACATCCCTATCACTATGTATAACAAAAAAAAAAATGTGAACGTATTTCATAGTTAAGACCGTCTACCTCCATATCCCGATCGCAGGTTCATGTATTAATTTCATGGTTCTCGTTTTTTATCAACGTATACTCAATCAGTTCATACAAGTCGTAGTTATCGTTTTTTTATCAAGTTCTTCTGGTTGTTGATCTCGGTCCGACCTAGGAACCCCACACACATGGCTTTGAGTATTTTCATTCTTAGAAACTTTGGTCGCACTAGATTCAAGATGTTGAAAACCTTTTCACGTGGTTCTGGTACAAAGTTCTCGAGAGGATGACCTTTGTAGGAGTTTCCACCAGCTCAAGAGCAGTCAACACATATAGTGGGGATTGTCAACAGATAATTTCGGTAGACGGCAACTACAACCCATGCTTCTCTCATGACAAAACAATCGTTTCAACTGAAACACGCTCTCGGGCTTACGCAAAAAGTTGAAAATTGAGGAGAAACTAGAAAAATGTAAAAACATGTTCAGAAAGCTGGAAGAGACCGTCATCCGACTAGTCCAGAAAAAACGAGAGGCAAACAAGATGGAAGAAGCATAGATGTCGAGATTCATTCGCATACAAGAATAATTGTTTCAAAAACAAAATTAATCAGCGACAGACCTGCGATTGACCGACCCGCTCACACAGATCTCTACATATTCGTCACATAGTTTACAGCATAAGGTTTACGCACTTCCTCAATTAACTTCATCTATCTGTCTCATAATTTATCGCATAATGAGAACACCCTTGCTCAATTATCTTCGTATTGTTTATCGCATAGTTTATCACATAATTATTTCACACTTTCTCAATTCTCTTTAGTATGTCTGTCGCATAGTTTATCGCTTAATATTTTCACATTTTGTGTAAAAAAATTAATTTATTAACTCAGGGTGTGAAAAAATATATTAGCTATTTTCACAATTTTTAACATGACATTCACCTTAGGATTGGTTTTGACGAGTGGCTTATTCGATTATTTTCATTGGTCGGTTCAATTAGTCAAACCAATCGATGCAGCAAAAATGAATTTTTAATATTTATTTCTCGAATTCCATATACTTGTAATTAAACTTTCGCCATGTTCAACAAATAGGTTACAAGCTCATGTGGTCTTATTTTAGAAGTTCAAATCATCATATGACATGACATATAACTTGGATAATTTCTCACATGCTCCAAAATTAATGGACCATTATAACATATGGACCATTGCATTATTGTAATGTAGTTTATGATAGCTTGATTTTTGGGAGGCCATAAACTCTGTCAAATACTCTCCCATTCCCTCGCCTAACAAAGAAACTAAAAGAATCAACTAATAAACAAACAACAGACAAGCTGAAGCAGCCATAGCAACAGAGAGAACCATCAGGGATGACCTAAACTAACAATCCTACATATATTATTGTATAATTTGTACACAGTTCAAGAACACCCTAACTCCAAGATATGTAGTCTACAACAAAGTTTTACCTCTACACATTCTAATCCTTTCCTTATTTTCTAAAAACAAG